CACTGCCCATAATGAGAAATATACCACAATTCCCATAGTTTAGGGTCCTTAAGGTAATGCAGGATTTGTATCATCAACAGTAGTAGTAGTAGTAGTAGTAGTAGTAGTAATAATAATAATAGTAGTAGTAGTAGGAGTAGGAGGAGGAGGAGCAGTAGTAGCTGTAGCTGTAGCTGTAGCTGTAGCTGCTTAGCTGTAGCTGCTTAGCTGTAGCTGTAGCTGTAGCTGTAGCTGTAGCTGTAGCTGTAGCTGTAGCTGTAGCTGTAGCTGTAGCAGTAGCAGTAGCAGCAGTAGTAGTAGTAGTAGTAGTAGTAGTAGTAGCAGCGGCAGTGGCAGTGGCAGTGGTAGTGGTAGTGGTAGCGCTAGCGGTAGCGGCTGGGGTGGTGGTGGTGTTGGTGGTGGCAGCAATAGTAGCCGCAGTAGTAGTTTAGTAGTGGTCGTGGTAGTGGCAGTGAGTGAATGGTTGTCGCAGCGTGACGAGGAGGCATGATTGTAAAATGGGAGTCAGTGATTTGATTAAGCTGGACTGGACCTTTAGCTGGTCCCTGAATTCTCGGGATCGCCTTGGATCAAGAAAGCTTCAGCAGAGCCAGGCCCTCCGCCAAGGCTTCTGGGTGAACCAGTCCATTAGACAGAGTTCCATGCGGGGGTTTGAGGTTCGTGGATCGGATTTTGGCAGGTCTGGGCTTGTGCACTTAATGAATATCTGTCTTCAATATCGATGGTGGGACATGAGTTCAGACCTTCATTCTGGTATGCCTCGCGAGCTCTAAACTCGGAAGCTGCAACAACAAACTAAACGTACTGAAAAGAATCGTGTGGCGGTTGCCACAGCACAAGGGCGGGCAACGTTATCCGACAAGGAGCAGAATGTTTTTGCAAATGAGTGCGAAAGCCTTCTCCAGCTAGCTACTGAAGATCATCCCCGCACACACAGGCAGAGACTCTGCACACAGCTCTGATGTAGACTTCGATGCTTTCGGAATTGACGAGAATATGACGCATCTGAAGTGGAGGCGAACTGTCGCACTACGAGATCAGGGACTGCCCCGTCCTGTATTGTGACCAGGATGTCGGATATTCGCTCACCCGGCCGCTGGCAAAGGTCAGGACGGTTTTCATCTTTCTGTCGTGCGGCAGGGTGCCCCCGCGTGGTAAAATGCTGGAAGAGACTGCATAGGGATGAGGATTGAAAAGGTCGATCTTAAGCAATGAAGCGTGCTAGCGCCTCTACTGCGTGTCTGGATGTGTGCTTTGGCGATAAGCCTTCTGCGCAGGTTTCTCGATCACCCGCAGGCATGTTGGCTTTGCAAAGTAGGCAAGGACTCGTGGAGATGCCAGATACCGGCTGCCCTAGTTCGACGTCCGCAACTTTAGTGAGGCAGAGTATGTAGACAATGTAGACGGTGCCAGCTGCAGCTGCCCGAGCAGTTGAACATCTCAAGAGTATTGCAGGCTAGCACTGGCAGTAACGTGCCTCAGCACACGTCGGCTCTTCACACTTCGTCTTCAAGACGCGGGAATGAGACAGCCTGCAAGCTACAAAAGTTATCTAAGCAGATGCCATGTAACATGCCCCGCAATCGACATCCGACTGCTGGTGGAACAAAATTGAGATGAGTTTGCCGATCCGTCCCTGATGGAGCTGTCTTGCTTGCTGGCTCCGTGCCACGCTTAATCACCAGCATTCGTGTAGTTGCTCCTATGAGTCTTAGGTGTCCGATACCATGCTGCTTCGGATGTGTGCTGCGTCGCTTAAGCGTGCTGTCTCAGATTTTGCAAAACCTGTCAGAAGTGCATAGTTTGGGATGTTGAGAATGCTCCATGGATTTCACACCGTTAGTGCATGCTGCTTCGGCAGCGTGCTTCTTCGCTACGCGTGCTGCCTCGATCGTAAGAGCGCACACCGACGCGTTCATGCAGCATGCAGACGCAAAGCAGAAGGTATTGACCGTTTGAAACGGCATGCTAAAAAGGTCGGCCATGAATGAGTATTGATCGCATCGTTGCCGGTGAGCGCTGTTGTTTTGACTGTTCTCGCACGTTGTTTCTAAGCGGGTGGCGGCCGGGCGTCAACGCAAGGATGTTATCGATATTCACAGGATTCCTGCTGCCACCAGGTCCTTGCAAGCACCGTATAGATTGAACTGCTTTGCGACCAACCACCCGGCGACTTAGCAACTACCGCGGGTGCTGCATGAGCGTGGAAATTTCACAAGCAGCACTCTCTCATTACTCCCTTAGGCGCTCCCATGAGTTCACAAGGCCATGGGGATGCATAGCGATGGAATATTGGGTGCCGAGCTCAGGAGTTCTCGCGTCAAGCAAGAAACTATGCCGCAGCTTGATCGGGACATTTGCAGGTCGCTGGCTTCATCGTGTGTCAGAGAAGTCGTCGGTCCACAGACGTCGTTTTGTCTGTGACAAGATCGCATGCATCGATGCATTGGCCAGCCACCTCTGAAAGGAATGGCAGAAGTATGCCGGTTGTGCCCCTGTCAGCTTGCATCCACAACTAGTAGAAGCCGCCGATTTGCTCTGTAAAGGTCGAATGAAGCGTGAGCTTGCTGTTGCACCAATGGTTTCAAACCATCAAAGGTGGACGGAAGTATGTCCCGCCGAAGATGTCGGACATCATCCGCGGGAATCTCGATCACTTGTGTTCCCCTGTGGCAATGCACAAGTTGCATGTCGTAGTGGCTTCTTTTTGCGGAAGGCGTGGCCACACGTTGTAGCAGCCAGTGCAAGCACGGTAAAAAGTGTAGTTGAAAAAATCCCCGGCAGCGTGTAGCCGTAGTCCAGGGCCACCCGAAAAGGAGTGCCTGGAGGCAACATGTATCGCTTGCCACTGCCAGGCGGCGACTGGCAAGAAGCGAGAGGTGACAGGCTCGGAGCCATCCTCCTCCGTTCTGATGCATTGCACGGCTTGAAGCTTGCTTTGGTCCCCAGCTGGGGCAGTAGCAGACTGGAAGCTGCCGAACTCGGATGAGAAACAGCCGCGAAGCAGGACTATCCGCATCCAGGAGGTTGATGACTGTCGCGCCCCCATGAAAGAAGGGCTTCTTCGGCACATGATTGAGCATAGATTGGACATGCAGAATGAGTCAGTCCGGTTTTCTTTCTCGGCCACAGGTCTTGAGCTGGAAGAACAGCCTGCCAGTGGACCTGCGATGGCTCGGTCTGGGGGTTTGGATCCAGTGTGTCTGATGTGCATCGTACCGAATGAGCACAGCCGTAAGTTTAAGAATAGTCGGAGAGTTGCAGTCTGACGCAGCGGTTGTGCTTTCGAAAACGTCATGTGTGGGAGGTGCTTTCGAGGAATCACTCGACTGCAGAGGTGCTGATTTCATGGACAGCCTATGCTGCAGTCCCAGCTGGTCGATCCAACTGCAGGTTTACAGCGAATGCTCTGGGTCTGACAGGCAACTGCATGCATGCTGTGATTGCAGCTGGCTGAGGCACGCGGGCGAAGCGGAGCCCGAGGTGAAGCTGTTTACGACCTTGCATTAGAAGGCGAGTTACCCATGCGTCTTATGCTGCCCGAAAGCTAGCATGGAACGAATTGCAAGCGGTTGAGCTGTTGTTGCCAGCACATGGCCGGCTCCTGCGATTCCAGACCATGAATGTAATGTTGGCGCTTGTGGAACCTTGACCAAAATTCAACGGTTCTCGGCTAAGCCAAGCGTGGAATGACCGTGCCGCCAGGTGAGAATCGAGTCACCTTGAGGCGAGGAGACGGCAATTGCCCCAGTCACCTTGGAGTTTTGCGCAAGACTCAGCATACTACAAGAAGCCTTTTTCCTGGCCTAGGCACAGCGAGAGGGAGAGATAGAGAGAGAGAGTCCGTAGCCATTTTGGCTCAAGTCGGCTCGCCGTCTCTCCCTTTAGGGGGACGCCCTCCGCCCCCCCAGAAGGTAGTCTTTGGGGGGGTTTACGTGGAGCTCGGCTTGAGTCCCATGCCGAAGCCGTGAGGATCCAGAGGCCCTGCAAGCCTTGCAGAGGATACCTCCAAGGACAGGCCACTACGAGCTACCGACGGGGACTGAGGCCGAGACGAAAGAAGACGAGGTGCATGACGGGGGGAGGGACTGGAGCAGTGATGATCGGAAGCCGGATCCGTACCCCGATGACGAGGGGAAGTGAGCCGCAGCAGCTTGCACTCCTGAGCGGGGGCATGTGAGAGCCTTTCTTCGATACCCCGATAGCGGGGCTTTTGCAGCTGTACAGCCCTTTTTTTCCTTCAAGCACCAACACCCGTACCAGCAAAAGGTTTTTCTGCACAGACTTCGTTCCTGAAGCCTTTGCGTTTTTGCAACTTAGTTGCACCACTGCACTTGAGTTGCTTGGCAAACTGCTAGCGGGGGCTTCGAAACCCTGCTTGCATTTTGCCCTAATCCAGACGGGCCGCGGAGCCTTCCAAACACCGTCCCCGTTCGCAGTGCCGGGGGAGCAACGCAGTTTCTCGCCGACTTGCGCTGGACGCTGGACATTGCGAGCCCCTTCGGGGGAGAGCGCTTGTGCGCGCTCTTTACTCGTTACTGTAGCAAGCAAGCAAGAGAGTTTCAACAGGGGTGCGCCCTGCGGCGCGGGGTGCTTAACTCGCACCCTATGCCCCCAAGAACAGAACAGAACAGAACAGAACAGAACAGAACAGAACAGAACAGAACAGAACAGAACAGAACAGAACAGAACAGAACAGAACAGAACAGAACAGAACAGACCAGACCAGACCAGACCAGACCAGACCAGACCAGTGCAGAGCAGAGCAGAGCAGAGCAGAGCAGAGCAGAGCAGAGCAGAGCAGAGCAGAGCAGAGCAGAGCAGAGCAGAGCAGAGCAGAGCAGAACAGAACAGAACAGAACAGAACAGAACAGAGAGTCTCACGGGGAGACAACTCCCCACCACAGCCCTGGGGAAGGAAAGAGTGTCACAACAGCCCTGGCGAAAGAACCGAGTGAATGAGAGAGTCGGCTGCTGTCTTGACTGTAGGCTGCTCCTTGTTTGAGGTTCGCAGCGGGGGTTCAGGTAAGAGGCAGTGCTGTGCAAGGTTCGGTTTGGTTCGGGCTCAGGCGAAGCGTCAGGCGTTCAGGTCGGGACAAGCGGGGATGCTTTCAGCGGATCAAGCAGGCCCCTCGCGGTGCTTACCCCGTCCTCTAGGTCTCTAGGGCTGCCGAAAAAAGACAGAAAGAGACCAAAGTAGCTCAAGACCCTGAAGGCGGCTCGCTGGTAAGCCCTTGTGGGAGGATGTCCTCATGTCATCACCCTCAACGTCCGAACCGAAATCGGCCAATACCTGCCACAAATGCTTCGCCAGAGAGGTGGCCCAGTAGGGGCCGCAGTATGCTACATGAGGGGGGAACTTCGATTGAGAGATGGCGAAAATAGGGACCTTGAAGGGAGGAAACCCGAAGCTCAGGCGGAGTGAGTACGAGCGAAGCCATCCACCTACAAGGAGCAGTGACAAGGGGGACACACCTGAGCGCGTGTGAGGTATCTATTGCATACACCAAGCAGAGCTTCAAGCCTTCCGCATTTTCAAACTACTACGAAAGAGGCAAGGCACTGAGGAACAAAAGCATGCATACTCAGGCACGTAAGCTCAATACCCCACCAATTTAATTTCAATTCGGCCCGTGCAAGGGCACCCCAATTTTCTCGAACAATCTCGCGACACAGTGGCATGCATCAACGACTGGCAACAAACCAGCGCGGCCGGCAACTAAGGCATGCTTGGTTGCCACCCCCTTCCTGAATCTGTGCACCAGGTTTCTGGCATCCCATGCGTCACATGGGCCTTACTTTGTGCATGAAACCCAGTGTGAACATGATGGATGGTGTGCGCGGCTGCAACACCTGGCACGAGCGAGCGCGCACATGGTTCAACGAGAGTCATAGCCACATGTCATTCAAAGGCCCGACTTAGACCTCAATCAAGCGCTCGTGGCAACATAAAGCTTGCTGAAAGGCGAGGCTGTGCAGTTCGTACGGCTCAAGGCCGGCCGTGCAACGAGACTGAATGGAATGGTGAAACAAGTTGGGTTTCAGGTAGCATGTCAATATACATAGCTGCCATGAGCGCCATGACTCCATATAAGTCCCACGTAGGCAGGGCTGTCACGAGCGATGCTTTCGAGATGTCGAAGCCTTCATCCACAAGGGTTCTTGCTACAGGAGGGGCAGCGCCTTTTCTCGCCATCACGGTCTGTAAGGGTCCCAGCTGCTTGCATGCACAAGCGCCATTTATGCCGTGCTCCTTGACGCTATTTCGCCACCGCTTTTACAATCAGTACTTCCCTAGTCGGAAAAGTACGGTCGCGGGATACAGAGCAGACTTCACCCCGCTGCAATTCGCCCTCTGCTAAGGGAAGGCGTGCACGGCCCGAGTCTAAGCACAGGCTGAGAGAAGAGCGCATGTAGCGGTATGCTAACCATTATCGCAAAAGATCACGCTGGAATCCTGCATTCTCCCTAAGGGCACGGCAGTGTGTGCGGCCCTCCTCAAGCTCGGATTCCAGACGGCACAAAGGTGCGAGCAGTGGGGCTTCAGGTTGGGAGGTCATGAAGGCCTCGTAGGAGGCCGTTGATCCTTTCATTGCACACCACGCGCATTTGGCCATGAGGATGCTTTGTCCAAGAAGTATTTTCTTTGTTGATCTCGTGTGCAGTAGGTAAAGTCACCAATCAAGGGGTTGAGCATTGCTAAGCGTTTAGTGTTGAGAAACAGGGGCAGACCGCTCGAGAGGGACTTCAGTATTCGAGACACCCGATCAGACAAGGGGCTGGAGTATTCGAGATACTGCAGTAAGCCGCTCGAAATCGACTAGAGTATTTGAGAAACAGGACGGAGCACGCCGCTCAAAAGGGACTGGAGTTATTTCGGGAAAGGGGCAAACCGGCTGCAAGGAATTATAGAGTCTTTCAGAAACCCATCAAAGAAAGAAAAGATACGGTACGCGTCTAAGTTTTTGGAATTATTTTGGAACGGAAATAGTTTTAATACTGGCGTTGTTCCCTTAATAAAGCCTTTCCACGACAACTCAAATAATTTAGATACCCCTTGTTTAACTATGTGATGTTTTAGCTACCATGCCTGCCTGCACATATACATTATATGCATGAACAGAAACGGATATAGGCACCTTTGCATACACAGACTTACATGTGCATACACATGTACATGTACATAACACATTTCCTTATACGTAGGCATATACATGTGCACGTACATATATCTATACCGTATACGCATGCACAAATACGTACGCACATGCATACGACCAACCCTGTATGCATGCATGGGATGGATGGATGCATGTATGTATGCATGCGCGTATGTGCTACTCTACATGACGCCTCAGTATAGCAGGCGATGAGAAGGAGCATCAAAGACTGGTGCAAAAGGCCTGGATGGTATCACCTTATCTCATCCAGCACTCGCTCATGCAGCGTCCGCTGTCTCTGTTCGTCAGTTTCAACTTGTGATTTCTCGCCTTCTTTTTGTCTACTTGTTCTCCCATCTTTCGATCTTTGTACTCTCTGCCTGTCTCTCGCCCCGCCTCCCCTGCCATGGGTTTTGATTCTATCACTCACTCGAAACCGTATTCCCCCCCTCACAGTCACTCTATTACTGCTCATTTCTCCACCTCTGGCTCTCTCCGTCTTTGTCTCCTTGTTTCGCTTTCTCTGAAGCTGTAGGGTAGTGCAGGCGTAAGACATGTTGCAGCTATGCTGCACAGAAACCGGCTAGGTCAGGCCCGTCTCCAGTTTGTTCGAAGCCAGGTTGGCAGCTTTAGTCTTGTACAACGACCGGTACGTGTAAGACACCGGAAAAACTTTCCAGCCATCGCAAATCATCAAATGATTACTGTGTCTTTCGATGTTATGGGTGCTTATGCCGCAAGCATTGCAAATTATCAGGATGATGTTCAGTGCCATCGTGAGTCGTCTTGATGTTTTGCTCGACGGAGCTCTGTGACAAAGACCTCGGTGAGTGTATGCCGGCTGCAGCTGTGATTGTTCAGCAAACCTCTGCGACACCACCACTCCTCTCGTCGCTGCCCGAGCCATGGGAAATGCAGGGAGCTGCTGCGCATCGAGCACATCTTCGGAGAAGCCAGAGGTTGCCGTGGCCACCGGCACTGCTCCGCCACCCAGCCCTGAGCTGCGCTCGCCTGAGGAAGAAGCTGAGAAGTCCGACAAAGGTCCAACAACAGAAGAGACAGTCGAGCCTCTGAAGAAGCGGGTTGTGCTACGCTTTGTGCTGCCAGATGGTGGAACACAGGACGTCGAGTTCGAGAACAAGCCTTTGGGCATCGACTTCAGCCGAAGCTTGCCACTCACTGCCAAGCGCTTGAAGCCCGGCATGCTCGCTGAGAAGAAGGAGGTGAAGATCGGCTGGCGCGTGACACACATCAATGATTCTCCTGTTCCTGCGACCTTCGATGAAACACTCAGCAATCTCCAGCAAGCGGTGTCGGTGCTGCCAACTGCGTGAGGGGACAATTGAGGTAGGCAAGAGCCGAAGCAGCTAAGTTGCGGAGGCACCGGTCCGGCCCTGCCGCCATAAATCCCTCCTGAAACTCGACACTTGCACACGCATGATAGTGAGGTGCAGAAGCCCCGAGAATCCCGATGAACCACGGGGATTTAGGCTGCCGAGGCCGGTGAAAGCAGGCTGATACATCACTCCAGTCCATGGGCAATCACGAAGTGACGGCTCGCCTTTTGCGCTTGTTTTCGCTGACCTCCGTGCTAGGCGAGGTGCTGTACTGAGAGTCCAAGAGCTAACTACTGGAATTTTCAATTTCCAACAGAGCCTAGCGGCCTAGCGTCGTGCGGAGCTATGCAAACTGCTGGCCAAAACGGATGCTTCGTGGTGATGCAAGATTATCGAACTACTGCATGCGTTTGGCCGATGATGCAGTTGGCTTTGAGCACTGTGCTTTGCTGGTCGCGACTTGGGGTCGTGAGGGCTTGCACTGCATGTGTTGCGAAACTTTCTGAATCTGGGAAACCAAGACCTTGCAGGTCAAGTCTCTTCAAAGCAGTGCCAAAGAACTGAACGAGAGATGGCAAAGCTACTGTGCATGGCGCTTGGCAGCCCGTCCTCACATTTTTGCGGAGCATGTGACAGAGAGGTAAGCCTGCTGAGAAACTCTTTCTGTGCCGAGGAGCAGCATGGCTCGTTTCTCAGAGCATGGATGTGGCTCGAGTTGCGCGCGCTGACTCAATCGCGAGTCGTAGATTGCCGCACATTGTCTCGAAACTCTCGAACTGGGTTTTGTTTTCAGTAACACGCGATGACTGCCGCTGCTTCCGGCCGTTTGGGAGTACTACTAGCGCCAGAATGCTTAGCATGACTGCGAAACAGCGCTGTCAATCTGCTAGCGGCTAGCGACTTAACTGGCATGGACAAGACGCAGAGCACAGCAGTCAAGCAAACAGTAGTTGAGAAGCTTTGCAAAGGCCTCCTACGGTTGCTCTTCTGAAGAACCTTCCAGATGGTTCTGGATACAAAGCTCACGGTTCAGGATGCGAAATCGCTGACTCATGTCCTTCGCCCTACGTTCTGACAGAACTCTGTCGTCTGGCAGAGGACGTGTTGCTACATTCCTCATGTGCTCAAGCTGGCATTGCGCCATCAAAGTCTGCTCATGACCGGTAACTGCGATATCTTCAGACTTTGAGCTGCGTTCTTCATTGGATGTCTTGGGTGTCGTAACCGAGGAAAGTCTTCGCTTGTATAGTCTTCTCGGCCATACTGACAAGCATACTTTGTTCTTCCCAGCCATGGCTGCAATGATCCAGTCCTTTTGGGCTGTTCTGGGCCTGCTCGTGTCGGCCAATGCTTGCACCATCATCGCCGTTGGCCGTTCTGCCAGCGCATCAGGGGCACCGATGATAGGCAGGATTCAATTCAATATTGGTCAGCAGAAGCAAGGGTTGGTGAGGGGTGCAACCCTACCGGCGCTGCACTTACCTGCATGTCCAAAGGCCATTCAGATGATGCTGGCAGCTCCACCAACGATATTCGCCTGATTCGTGTGCCGCGCCAGCGATGGCCAGAGGGCAGTAAGCGACCAGTTTACTTTTGGCAAGCAGCTTGGCTGCAAGCCTCAAGTCGAATGTTACCAGTAGCTATAAAACAAACTGCTAGGCTTTGTCCAGTTCCGGGGTCCCGGAACACGTGCTGGCTTGCAATCGCCCGGATGACATTTACTTCACATTGGCGCACTCTTGCACTCTTCGTCACTCTAAATTGGCAGTGGCAAATCTGCATAGTTCCACCATGGAGCTTGACCTTACCATTTGACACTGAGATTGGCTACCCACGCCTCGTGAGCTCGGCGTCCTGTCCGCATGATGCCACAAGTTCAGGATGTAAGGAGTGCTAGCTGTCGTCCCGAAGCTCTAGATTTGGGCCGTGCGACAGAAGCCATGATCTCCAATCATTCTTTGTGTGGATTTATGTGTGCTTTTGCGTTTCGTTGATTTCTCGGTTTATGGCTTGCTAATGATTCTTTAGCGGTTTTGTTCATCTCTCTCTTGCAGCTCCTGTGACGAGGTGTGTCGCATTTTGTTGAGATGGCAGATCAACATGCATGCATGCCTGCGCATTTAGATCGCACATCGGCTCAAAAACGTCGTGATACACGCCTGAGCAGCTTTGGGAGACTAGGTCTTGCGTTTCCTTCGCCAAAGGGTTTGGGAGAGACCGGGAAGGGACGAGCACTGTGGCGGGTGCGAGTAGTCGGGGTGGAGGGCCAGGAAAAGGGCAGTGCGGTACAGCGCATCGAGCAGGTAGGCGAGTGCGTCGAGCAGGTAGGGTAACTCGGGGGGGATCATGCTGTGCCGCGTGCCACATTATGAGGTCCAGTATCATCCATGCCACATTGCAAGCCAGAATCTTCATCGACCCGTCCTTAGAAAGCAAGGCAAAAAGTGCAGAACTTTAGGTAAAGACGTGTAGATGCAAGGATATTTGAAGGCGAGAATCACGAACTACAACATGTAAAATACATGTATACTTTGTTTAATACCTACTTGTAGAATCCTGCCTTTCGCAAGGCATACCTCCAGGTTCCGACAAGCGTGCATTCCAGGTGTGAGCTCCATTGTTCCAGAGCGTGGTTCGAGTTCCGTGCGAAGCCCAACCCGTAACCCAGAACACTTCAGGAGCGATCTCCAGAGTATGCAGCGGTTGGTGATCAGAAGGAGATCTACCCACCGTTTGGGTGAAGAAGCTGGGTGGCCAAATCTTGTTCTGTTCATTTCATAACTTGACTTACACGCGCAGATCATGCAGGACACTCATCCTTTGGGATTTGTTCCACAGGTTTCCGTGCCTCGACAGGAATTAATCTTGTTTTTTCCTGGCTCTCGATGAGCATGGGGGAGTTTCGGGCGTGGTTCCAGCATGTGCAGGCCACGCTCCAGGAGAGGCTTGCAGCCAAGGAAACATGGGCGTACTGGGACACGGACTACGGTGTGCAAAATGAGTGGGGCCTTTCAATCGGAGCGACCTGGAGCAACATCTCACTGAAATGTGCCGCATACAGCGGGCATTTAGGTGTAGCCAATGGTTCAGTGTTCAGAACTGTCGTCAAGCCGGCTGAGCTTTTGCTCTGGACCAGACAGATGATAAAAGCAGATCAGTAGATTGCACGTGGACTTAGCTTCTGCTGAGTTTCGGAGTAAAGCCGTTCTGAGGAGAGCACCAGCTCCGCTCGAACTGTTGGTTGGCCTGTAAGCAAACCACAAGGCCAGACGTGATGTGAGCTGACAAGTGGGAAATAACGGCCCAAGAGATGATTTCCACTCTTCCGCATTTCAGTGGTGACATTACATGGGCGGCCTCGAGAACCCTTCTTGTGCTTTGTCGTTTGCCGCTGAATCTAAATGTCACGTGCTGCAGGCTGTTTGCGATCTCACGGGGGATATCTCGCAAATCACCTCCAAAGAGTGTCGGTTTCCTGCCAACTACCAAGCATACAGCAGGCAATTGCCTCTTTGGCATCGAGGAGCGGCAAAGTTCATGGAGCATATCATATCTTGGCTAGTCGGACTCAGACGCCTCCAGAGGAACAGAACATGCGCGTTGTTAGAGTTAGGTGGGCGAGATCCCCGAGATGCCTCAAAGTCTGCCCCGCAGGGTTCATCGTGTGCAGCCAGTGGCAGCAGCAGCACACGTGAGGAGCTCACGAAGATTGCCCTGGAGCGATGCAAAACGACACGGTGTGCAGCCCCGTGGCCAGCATCGTGTTTGGAGTTCAATACACATTGCTTGCTCTCTGGGTAATTAATGTTGAGCGCTGATTGGTGTAGGGGTCGCCCCGCCCCAAAGAAATGCTGAATAAGTCCCTGGCCGGCAAGCCCTCCCAAAGGTACTCCACATAGCAGTTAGTAACAGTTAGTAGTAACAGCACAGAATTCTTTACATTAGTCATTAGTCTTATGGACAGGTTCTGACAGTTGTGGACTATCAGCATCAAGTGCAGCCGTTGGGGCTACAAGACAGAGGGGCAAGTTCAATCTTGTGTAGCGACAAGAGACAGCCCAACAGGCTTGAAATCTCACGGTCATGAGGTGGAGACTATGGGCTACATGGCCGAGACTTATGGGTTCTACAGCCACTCAGAGGCAGAAGACAGTGAACCTGCAAGATGGTTTGGGTTCCTTGATCTTCTCTTTGTGCCATGCGTTGTGCTGGAAGCGACTCGCACGGCCGGCAAGGCTTGCCAGAGTACTCAGGCGACGATGTCGGCGATCCCTCCAATCCCGACTACTCTGATGGCTCCGAGTCGCACCTCAATGGCAAGTTTATTTGCCATCCTACCGAAAGTGCAGCCAGCCCAGATGCATGGTGAGTTACATAAAGGGCCACCTCAAACTGAAGTTTCCGATGTAGTTGGTAGTCAGGTTTTGATGCCAGCTTGACGACTGGTTAGTCACCGCAGCAGTAGCTCCCACAGCTGTGGTCGTCGTAGAGGGCCAGCCGTGTTGGTGGTGATGGTCGTGGCAGTGGTCCTGGAGTTGTGTGGTGCAACTGGCACTTGATTCCACTCGCTGTTCTGTCCTGGCGGTCAGCAGACTTTCCAAGCGAAGATGAACCGAAGTTGATAGCAATTCCGACAATCACTACTACTACTACTACTACTACTACTACTACTACTACTACTACTACGCCTACCACTACTACTACTACTGCTGCTGCTGCTGCTGCTGCTGCTGCTCCTGCTACT